TGAGGTTTCTTCTAACCTGAATTGTTCTTTTAGTGCTTCTGATTCTACAGTTATGACCATTCTCAAAACCTTTGTTTCAGCAAAGACTGTTAACCTGTAAATATGACTCTTTGTTTATGCCGTATGCATGTGAATTATTGCCAGAATGAGTTACTCTGTCACTAAAAGATGACAAATCATTGCCATTTAACAGATATTGTGACCTTGGTTCTTAAAAGATAAGGACAAATAAGCTGAGGAAAATTAAGCCTGTCATCAAGTCAGGATATGAAGCACCTCTAAAGGGTGTTGCACTTTTAGTTACCAAATATGATCCTGTGGAGTCTGGGAACCAAACAGTTGAATAGTTTGAAGATGCCTTCACATGATTAAGGCAAACGTGCTCAGCCATTTTCAGAATGATAAAAGATCTGAAAAATACTTTATTTTTTCTTGCTTATGTAGCTGCTGTGGTCCTGGTAAGTGCTCTTAAGGAAAAATTTACATATATTTTGTTTATATCTTCATATTTACACATATGTGTATGAATATCTTTGAGCTTTTTGGGACGTACTGTTTCAGAAACCTGGCACTGCTGTAGAACACAGAGTGCTAAAGGCCAGGAAAATGGAAACTATATCCTTATTATTAAGAGGAGTGAAGAAACAGAATTCCACAGAACTGGTAGAACTTGAATTATACAAATAGATAACCAGTAACCTTGAAACTTTTTCCCTCTCTCTGGGTAAGTCTAGGGATCCAGTCCTTTAAAAGACAGCTTCTGTGGGTATATTAATAATCCAAAATGAGAGAATTGCAAAATCCCCCTCTCAAGTAGAGGGGATATCTGCTCTTTCTACTACTGAAAGTAATTTTATACAGGGTAAGTAGGTAGTGGTTTTTGTAGAAGTGAAACTTATTGCAAGTGACAATATGATGATAATCTTGGTTCTAAGAGCACTTGGATGATTGATTCTTCTGTAATACAGTTTGCTTTCTTGTGCTGCATGAGGAAGAAGTGTGTTGGCAGCATGTTAGAGAATGTAGGTAAACTTTTAACTTTCAGGTAATCAAACTGCAATTTGTGTGTATTTATATATTGTAAACATAAACATTGTACAGCTGAACAATGAACACAGCTCTGAAAATATTTTTACTGTAAGGAAATAGAAATGACAAGCAAACCTATTAAACTTGGTCCTAATTCTGCATACCTAAATGGACTTTGCTCACATCTGTTTTTTACCAGGGTGGTGGTGTGGGTGGTTTTTTCCCCAATGGTCTACATGCTGAGAGTCATACCTATAGCATGGAAAAAGGGATATTATAAAAACAAATTGAGACCTGGAATGCTTTTAAAAGTACAACATAAAAAGAGAAACCCCCAAAAGATGGTTTATTTGTTGCTGTCAAGGTAGCAGAGGCTACCCAGCTTTTCTAGTTTTGGTCCCATAAGTAGTCCTAAAAATTTGTCTGAAAAAAATACAAACTAGCTAATAGCTGTTTCCTGATAGTTGTGGTATAGGTAGCAATATGATACTATAACTTTCTCTCATATTATCTCCAATTATGTTCTTTTTCTCTGCAATGCTTTGTTTACAGAACCTTTTACTGTAACTACTGAATGTAAGAATATGCTATACAGCTGTATCAAATGTTTGAGCCAACCTTAACAAAAGTGAATGAGGTTTAAAAATACTGCTGCCTAGGAACCTTTTCTATCTTGCATATGAATGTGTAGCTTTCCTTAATGTCATAGTAGATTGGTCTTAGTGGTTTGGGTGCTATTGTTCAAATATTATTATTCATATTTGGAAGAGCAGGTTAAGAACTACTTATTTGGGAGGCCTGTGAAAATTGTGACTATTCAGTCCTTGATAAATTACAGAAGTTCCAAATACTGAATGAGGAACACCAATTGTAAGCTAACTTTATGTGAAAATGACCTTTATGTGAAAATTGGATGACTAACAACCTAAATAAAACTGCTTGTTATTCTTAAGTTCTAGCATGAAGAGCCAAATGTAGACATGCTTTCTTACACTTGTCTCAGTGTACCCCCAGCAACTATTTTCTTTTGAGTGACAGTCAAATGAGGATGCAGAAAACTAAAGGACCTGTTTGCATGGGAGCAAGTAGAAGTTCAGGCTAAACAGTTAGGACCCCTGCTCTTTGCATCTTTCACTGGTAAGATTTTTCCTTGACATGTGTTGTTCACTGTGGTAGTTATGGCTTCTGCTGTAATATTGCTGGTGAGGAAGCTCTGCTCTTTGAGGGTACGTGTGTATTTTCAGAAGGTACTGAAATAGTTCTAAAAATAAAACTTGTTCCTAAAACGTGGTTGTATCCCTTACAGGAATTTTGTTTGTCCTTTTGGGTTACTTGGCCAATTTTGTGTGAGTCTTTGAGACTCCCCGAGTGGATGTTCCATAGGTTAGTGCACTTGGGTTTGATTTTTCAGACTCTAGGTGCTGGCAAGATGGCCAGGTCTGAGCATTGCTGCCTGGTGCTACTAGGCAGTTTATGGGCATCTCCTATTTTTGATATGAGGGCATTCCAGGTTCAATAAAGGAAGCAATAGGATATTTTACCTGAATTAACATAAGGACAACATAGAGGCTAAAAGGAACAAACCCCTCGTGGGGACTTGGATGGCTGTGAAGGCTGGGGACAGGAAGCTGGCAGAAAAACCTGAGTACTTGTGGGAATTCCTTTTACAGCCTGTAGCAGAGGATGATTATGCTGTTTGTGCTCTATATCTGTCACTTCTCTGGCCAGTCAGATTGGCAGCAAGGGACTGAAAGCTTGAAGCGGAGTGTTTGTCTTTTTAGTCAGTAGAGTTTATGCTTTCTTTTAGAATATGAGAAAACTGGTTGAAAAGGTACTATAAAGTGTTTATGTTCTTACAGATCACTGATCAGATGATGTAAAGCACCTTGAACTATCAATGTAAACAAAGTTTTGACCACGGTATGCACTCTGTTTGAAATAATCTCGATGAGCCATCATAAATGGTTGATCAATATGCCTTACAATACATTTAAAAGTACCAGGAAGGAACACGACTTCTTCCTGCAACCGTAGGTATAATTGCTTTGCTTAATAAGTTAATATAAAAACCTGAATGCCACTCGGCTTTTAGGTTGTTAGGTTATTGTTTAGTTCAGATGCTCTTTGATCTTTAAGGCTTACTTGGATGTCATTAAATATATGAAAAGAAAATCTTCCTTTTAATTATGTTACTAGTGGTGTGAGGTATTTGTGGGGAAGAGAAGGAAATAACTAAGGGTCCTGCTTACTCCGCTCTCTATTTTCAGTAAGTGCATAATCCTAAAAATGTTTTGACTGTGCAGGATATAAAATGTATCAAGTTTTGATTGCTGATCTCTACATCAGTGACTGCTGTGTTGGGAAGGGTCTGGTCTTAGTAGGTGAGTGCTAAGTAGGCTTGTGTTCTGAAATGTAAGCAATTGGACAGGTTCAGATGTTTTTCTATACTGTCACTAAAGTGTTCTGTTGTATCTGCATCTGAAATCACCACGTTTTCTTGGGTGCTGTTTTTTTGGTGAGGTGGAGAGTTGTTCAGGTGTTGTGCATTTCAGTTCTCATACCTTTGTTGATAAGGGATTTAGGAAATGTCAACAAGTGACAGTGGATTTCAGAAATGCTGCTGAGAGGTTAATTTAGAAATGCTTCTTGACTATCCAGTATTAATTGTGTGAATCTCACATATTTGGGATCTGAACCTTTATCCCTTCTCTCTTTCAGAAGCAAAAGCAGCAGCTAGGAAATCTGTGGGATTTACATGCTGACAATGTTAAATATCTTCTGTATTTGGGGAGATGAGGGGGAGGGACCAAAACACAAATGCCTGACTTTCCAGGCTGTTCTGGTTTGTCCTTGCTATGATCAGTTACTGGACAGGTTTTTCCTAAGCAGGTTGTTTTCTCTTAAGCCAAGTTCTGTGATGTATGGTTAGGGAGACTGGCAGCTCTGGTGTCCATCGTGATGACTTAATTGTACATACAGCATGGCAAAGCGTGGCAGCCTGTGTTGGCATGCACAGGCTTGAGGTGGTGGTACTGTTGAACTTCTCTTAGAGGAGGAATTTGAAAGAAATCGTTATAACTTGCTGGTAGATAGTGAACACTTTGTATATGATAACACTACTTCTGCCATAGGAGCGGAACAGAGTAATAAAAATAGGCACGTCACCACTAAGTGGTTTCACAGGACTTTAAAGGTGGGGGGGGGGGTGTGTGAAAAATGGCCTTTGTTTTGAACAGAGCAATGTCACTTCTGTAGAGGTAAACTGCGTTCTTTTCTGTTTGTAGAAAATGTTGTTATAAAATGTACGCACTTCTCTAAATTTTATCTAATGAGATTTAATTGACAAATGCAGCCTGAAATAAATCCTGTGCAATAATGAATCTTGCTATTTGTTCCTGTTTGGGGGGTGTGTGTGCAATCTATTTAGACAGTAAGTAACTAAAGGACAAACATGGATCCATTTGTAGTCTGTTCTACATATAGGTTACCATAACTAAGAATCTAATCCAGAGGTATATTTCTCAGTTCTCTGAAATTTCAGATGTTTTTCGTGGGTACTACAGTAGCTATGTAGACACTATTTTTAAATCTTTTTGATTAAATACTCATTTAGAACCAAGCAAATTTAATGGAGCTGTCCATTGAGTAGATTTTTTCTAGATAAATCTAAATTACTTTATGCCTTACAAAATAAAATCCTGTAGTGCCCTTCTGTTTTCTCTGCTGTCACCTGGACTAACAGGATTACCTGATCGATATGGACAAACCATCTTCATATATGCAGCAGCCCTAGGGTCCAAAAGGAGATGCTTTGGATGGAATGCTCCTAAGCAAGAAAATTCAATATTGCTGCAAACGTGGCTTAGTCTCAACTTGCTTAGAATAAGCATTTTAAAGATATTTGTTTAGTGTCACATTACTAGTTCTGAAGGTTCTCAGTATCTGTTTTGGTTTATTTGCAGATGATACAGCTCTAGAGGAAAGAAAGATTTGTCTTCAACTTGCTTTACAGTATCTGAATAGTGCAAGCACAATGGACACTTTTTAGTTTTACAGAAATCAAAAATCATATAGGAACAAGAACGTTGGACTTCGAGGAATAGCATACTTCAGAGAGCCCGGAAATTGGTCACTGAGAAATCCGATTTGGCCATACAGCTTGGGAATGAATACCATTGAGACAGCAAAGCTTGAAGAGCATATGGAGGGTCAAAACAATGACACTTCTAATGGCTACTCAAGACCTACTCTCTCAGTCAGCGAAGAGAACAAAAATGGCACTAACAAACCAAAGGGCTTGTCTAATGGCTTGCGAAAAACAACGAAAAAATATCCTGATTATATCCAGATTGCTATGCCTGCTGAGTCTAGGAACAAATTTCCTCTGGAGTGGTGGAAAACGGGTATTGCCTTCGTCTATGCTCTCTTCAACTTGATTCTAACAACTGTCATGATCACTGTGGTCCATGAGAGAGTACCTCCAAAGGAGCTAAGCCCTCCCTTGCCTGACAAATTTTTTGATTACGTTGATCGTGTGAAATGGGCTTTTTCTGTATCAGAAATAAATGGAATGATACTAGTTGGATTATGGATATTCCAGTGGTTGTTTCTTAGATACAAGTAAGTAGCTATGCTTTTTTTTTTCTCTGCTGTGTGTTTTCAGAACATTGGTTTCCCTTGTTCGCTTTGGGTAGAAGAAATCTTATGATAGCATCTGTAGCAATATTGTAGAATAGGGCTGTTAGGAAAATTACAGAGATGACTTCTCTAGAAAATATTCTAGTATCCGTGCTGGGTATGGAAATGCAGGCTTCCCCTGGTTATTGAATAATGTTTAAAATCTGAATTTCTGACACCTGTGTTGTACTACTCAAATTTGTTCTCAGATTGGGCTTTTCAAAATGCATTTGCTGCCATGGCAATTTTTAATCAGAGGAAATCATGATGATGTAATAAATCTCATCCAAATGGGAGGAGGAACCACTGTCCTCTACAGCTAGACTAGGAGCTTTTCCTTTTGTCTTCATTTGCTTAAACTGTGCATATTTAAGTCAAGTGCATGGGTGTGATATGGGACTAAAAAGAGAAGGTCACTGAAGAAAAATATGCCTGACTACTGCACACCTACGTCGGAATGAGGCGACCTTAAATTGGTTAGATAGCTTTGATGGGAGTGTTGTGGTAGTTGTGTACGATTATGAGCTAGCAAGACTAAAACTGGAAAACTTTTTAATATTTGATTTAGAGAAGTGTGTGGTGAAGAACCGGGGGCAGAGCAGCTCTTTGGTTCTAGGGATTTAGCTATTTAATAAAGCTAGAGCTCCAGAACTATTATATGTATATCCTGCTTGTGAACTTTATACTCAATCTTCTTTTTTTCCCCCCTTCCCTTACTTTCAGATCAATAGTGGGACGCAGGTTCTTTTTTATAATAGGAACTTTGTATCTTTACCGCTGTATTACTATGTACGTTACCACCTTACCTGTGCCTGGAATGCATTTTCAGTGTGCGCCAAAGGTAAGAGCCTTTGCTCCCTCATTCATAGAGTCATAGAACAGCCTGGGTTGGAAAGGACCTTAAAGATCTAGTTCCAACCCCCCTGCTGTGGGCAGGGTTGCCAACCACTAGAGCAGGCTGCCTGTAATTCTTTTCTTTGTGTTTGCCTGAGTCCTTATTAGAGAAGATAGAAGATAATATTCCAGGTGTTAGTAAATAATACAAATTATTTTAAGTTGATGTGTTCAGACATATACATAGTGATAAACCAAAAGTTGCGAGATAACAGAAAGCACCTCAAGCTGTTGCTGCAGTGAAGGTGTTTTAAAGGAGAGTACCTACGTTGAAATAGTGCTGCTACCAAATTGGTAAACTTAGAGCAATTAGCTTGAGCCTCAGAAACTAATACTGCAGCAGTATTTTTTCTCTTACATAGTGGGATACCAAAGGTCAATATTGTAATTCATAGGCTCATACGCAAGCTTGTGTTGCAGTATTCTTTTAAAAAACCATCGTGTTATCATGTTTCTCACTGTTTTATCAAGAGCTGTGACAATACCTGAAGTCAGCTGCATCTCCCTGCTTCCAACCTGCAAAATGTATATACATGTGACTAAAACAAGTTCAGTTATTTAGAAAAAATTATATATTAGCATGTACATGCTAATATTCTACAAGAATGTTTTGAAAATTCTGTGGCGGTGCAGTTAGGTGGTGACACAAAGGAATTCTGTTACTGCTGTTTTATTAGTAAGAAGTATTAGACATAAATTCCCTTGGAACAAGCTGTACCAGGTTGGCTGCACTGAAAGAACAGTGCCCTTGAGAATAAGAAACAGTTTGGTGGTGCGCTGAGAAGATAAGCATTTTGAAACTGAAGAATACTGCCGCTATGCTTGGTGGATACATTTGTCACTCCTTGTGTAGGATCTCATTGGTCTTGAGATACAGCATCATGTCTGTTCAGTCTTATTCTTTCATGTTGGGACAACTTAGGAATGTAGTGCATGAGCTACTTTTCTTATGAATCAGTGTCTGTTTGAAAAAGCTGTCTTTACATACCACTACTGTAAAGACTCAACTGTTTTGTTCTAGTAGCTTGGGGAATGACTCTGGGTGTAGTAGACCGTATATAGAGGAATGGGAAGGGGTAAGCAAAGGAAAACTTAAATGTCTTTGCTGAAAGTGCATTTTGCTAGCATTAGCAAAACAGGATGAATTACTTAAACTCTGAAAAACTTGACAGCTCTTCAGGATTTCTTTTTTTGTCCTGTAACCCTAAATCTAAAATGAAGGGAGTTTGAGGTTTTTGTCCTGTAGAAACACTGCTTAGCTCTGAACAGAATGACAGAAGTGGTAGGCAAGGTTGCACAGTATTGGAACAGATTTTGAATGCGTGTTTTTTCCCTTCTGTCAATGGTTATTGTGAGATACCCGACCTTACAAATTTTTAATGTTTACCTTTCCAGTATATTCTGCTTCTCGTTCTCATACAATGCATGTTTTGAAATAGCCTGGGAAAACAAGGACAGAATGCTAGTGTTATCAAGCTGATCTTTAGCACCTGTCAACTTTGATATACATGCTTATTAATTTAAAAATATCTGAAAGAAAGCCAAAGAAAATTAAGATAGTTTATGTCCTTTTCTCTCTGAATCCACATATGTTTGGGCAAGAAGTTTACTCAAGTCAGTTATTGTGTATCTTAAACATTTTTTGGTACTTTTTTTCTGGTGTTCTAGTTGAATGGAGATTCTCAGGCAAAGGTTCAGAGGATCCTGCGACTGATTTCTGGTGGTGGTCTGTCCATAACTGGATCACACATCCTGTGCGGGGACTTCCTGTTTAGTGGTCACACTGTGGTATTAACGCTGATCTACCTGTTCATCAAAGAGTGTAAGTGATGGTGTTTCAATGCACTTTCCTTGTTCAAATGCCAATTGACTCTGTGCAGACTGGCTGATACACCTTAGATTTTAAGGAATTTTTGTGGCTTGAGCACAGTGCCATTGCACAGCTGTACTACATACAGAAGCAATGTAATTTATTTTAAGCATGCTGTACATTAGTTACTCCAAAAAATAGGAAGTTCACAGAATCACAGAATGTTAGAGATTGGAAGGGACCTCGAAAGATCATCTAGTCCAATCCCCCTGCGGGAGCAGGTTGATTCATGCTTGTAGGAGACTCTAGCAGAAGGCATCCAATTTATGCCTCTTGATGTTGATAAGAATTTGGCAAGCACACAGATATAGTTGGGTTTATGGTTTCCCCTTGCTTTACATTGCTATGGGGTATGTGGGGAAAAAAATCTGTGCTGCACGTGGAGCATTGGTCGAAGCTTTGGAGAACTAAGCACCAACTTCTAAATTTTATATATGATAAGCAATACTTCTACCCTGGGAACTTGGCTGCTCATGAATGTGCAGTGGGGAGTTCCCTTTCCAGTTCACAGGTTTGGAATTGGAATCTTCTGTCCTGCTGTTGTGTCCCAAACTATGCAAATGCTAGCTTGGCTCATGGGAATGTGTAATTCTCACTGAAACAAAAATAAGAGTAGCCAGCATCAGTTGAGTGCCTTCCTCTTATTAAAGTGTTGAGGGAAGGAAGTGTTGCAATCCTACGTTCTGTCCTTAAACAAAAACCACAATATAAGCCAGCCTGTTTCATATGACAAACTCCAAATCTGTGGATGTGAGACGTTCTTCTTCAAACAGTGATTTAAGATGCTGATGATAGTCTGCTTATTCTTAGGCCCAGGTCCTTCATGTAGAGTGAACATTACTGGGGGAATGGCATGTGTAACTTGTCAGAATTACCAGAGCAGTATTAGGAAAAGAGCCTAATAATGGATTTGTTGTTTGCCTTGTTTTGTGTGTTGTTGTAGCTTTAACATGACCTCACATACTCTTTGATATTTTTAGTACCAGGAAAGATTCAGATAACCCAATATTTTCAGGGCTAGTATAGCTCATGCACTGTTATCATAAGGGGTTGGAGGAATTGTCAGAAATTCTTGTCATAAGCCTTTTGACTGCTGCTTAATTGTTAGGCATATATTTCAGTGGAGTTGTGCTCTATAAATGAGAAATGCGTAGCTTTCCTTTTTCTGCCTCCCATGTAATTAGCAAAATGTTACCTGAGCAAGGGCTGAAGCCCTATAATTGCTCTGAATTAGAGGTTGCTTATGGTGTTCTTTCCTGCTCTTTTGGTATGACACATCTTCAGTACAAGATGCATCCTGAGGTTTTTATTATTTCTGGCTTAGTGGATTTTTTTTTTTTGCTCTGCTCTTCTCCTCCTTTCATAGTTTTGCTGCTTCTTCATTTATTCTCCTGCACTCCAGCTTTTTTGCCTGGAATAGTTATTTTAGCCTTGGTATGTCTTTCTTGCTTGGGCTGTTTTCATCAGCTTCTTGAGACTTGGCTCCCTTTTTTTTAATCAGATACATATTTATCTGCAATGTTTTAGGTAGAGATGAGAGAATTTATGGCTTTGACACTTGCATTAAAACTTAAGTCCTCCTACAGTAATTGTTTTGCACAGGTCTTCCAAACTACTACTGGGCAGACTTGTTGAGATCAGTAACTTTTCTGCTGGTATTGTGTGCAAGTAAAGGCTGACCATTGCCCCACAAGGGAAGGGGTGCCAAAACCTCCTGCTGCGAATGAAATAAAGCCTGTTAGCCTGTCAGAAGTTATGAATGGTCACTGTGACACCCAAGGCATTTGTCAATGAGGAAGCAAGGGCAGGGGAATTTTTCCACTGAAGTGGCTTAAATGCATTTTGAAGAATAGGCTCGCTCCCATTTGTTAATCTTTAATGAAAGGGTATAAATTCACATACTGTTCTTCCCTGTACAGTGCAGAACAGAGGTCTCATGCAAAGTCATTCAAAGCTAAGAATCAAAATAAGGTGTTTTTTCCTGTGTAATCTGTCATCTCTGCTCGGGTCTTACTGATTCTAGACATTTTACTTGAGTGTAAGTTTACTTAAGCATAGACTGTAAAAAGAGCAGAGATTCAAAGCACCCAAGTAAAATAATCAAAGTGTATGTCTTGCCTCAATTCTGTCTCTTCCCCTGTACCCCATACCCTAGAAGTTATTTAACTGGAAAACTTAAATTACTTGACTAGAAAATGGGTGATGGTGCTGTCTCTCTCTAACTGCAAGCTCATCTTGGCTTCATTTTACAAAGTAAGAACACCTCAGTAAGTTTGCATAATTCTTTAGTCTTGTTTTCTTGTACTCATAAATGAGTTATGTTTTTTAATTTAGTAGCCTTATTAAATAATATTTTTCTTTTCCCGTTCCCTTTGTGGATTGCTATAATAATGTGTGGCTTTGTGTGTTTTTCCCCATCACTTCCCTGTTTCACAGATTCACCACGTCATTTCTGGTGGTATCACTTAATCTGCTGGTTAATGAGTGCTGCTGGCATCGTTTGCATCCTGGTTGCTCATGAACACTATACTGTAGATGTCATCATTGCTTACTATATCACCACACGGCTTTTCTGGTGGTACCACTCAATGGCTAATGAAAAGGTGAGTAGCAAATACCTTCAGAATCAATGTATAGCCTGCATTTGTTAATACTGCTCAAAGGGCAAAGTCAGCTCTTAGTTTTGAAATCAAAATAGAGGTTCCATATTGAGGTTTAAACTAATTGGGCAAGGAGTTTGACTTTACTGTAGTTTAAGTTAATATTTAGTATATTAAGATGTTTTCTTTTTGATCTGCACCTGTGAAGTAATTTAAAAATCTCTCTTTAGAAGTTATTTTTTTAAAATTCCTGATACTTTGGCTTAAAAGCATTTTTTTTTTTGAACTTCAGTGTTTTATTGCTGTAATGGATGTATGGAATAGCCCTTGATTATCTAAGCTTGTGAGTAGTAGTTTAGTAATAAAATTTTGGACCAACCTACATTTCCTAGACCATCCTAAAATTCTAGTGACGTTTACAGAAGAATGGTCACTAAAAGTATCCTGTGCAGAAGGTAACCGCAGTTGTTTGAAGAACACTTTCAAGTAGGAGCATTGCTCTCAAGGCATTTTAATCTAGTTTACTCATCAATGGAAACATTACATGCCTGAAAGGACTCATGTTCAAAAAGACTTAAGTGCTCTGTCTCCCTAAATTTTGTACAGCAACAAAGCATCCTTGTGTGTTAAAGATGCTCAGTTTGTAGTATACATTGGGACTATGGTGTACATGCTACTCTGGTTTTTCTAGGCTAAATGCACCTCATCTTTCCAGAAATGCATGCAAATATATTGCATTTTTGTAGTTGTCTTGAGTCAATGTAATTGATTATAATGCTTTAAACTGATTGTCTGTTTCCTTTTCCTCTTTACTTGTGCCAATACAGACTTTAAAGGTCTCTTCGCAGACAAATTTTCTCTCTCGAGCATGGTGGTATCCAATATTTTATTTCTTTGAGAAGAACGTGCAAGGTTCTGTTCCTTGCAGCTTTTCTTGGCCAATATCTTGGCCTCCCAGCTGCTTCAAATCTTCATGCAAAAAGTATTCACGGGTTCAGAAGACAGGAGAGGACAATGAAAAATCTACCTGAAGAAAAGAAGGAAAGCATCTGCTCTGTTTTTTCTACCAAAACATTAATGCTGTAACCAAAGCTCTTAAGAGGACTTCACTGTACCTGAAGAAGTGGACCAAGCTTCTGTGCAATTGATTGGAAAGACAATTGTTGACAAACATTTCCTATGTTTTCCTATCATCAGGCTGTACAGACCTATTCTACTCTTCAGTGCTAATAGAATGCACCACTGATGGGATTTCATTATTAAAGAAAAAATGGAGCAGGACTTTGCTTTACTAATGAGATAGAGGTGCCAAAGACCCCGTTAACACTTTCATTACTAACCATCACTCATCCACAGAAGCACCCAAAAATCTCATCTGCAGAGTTCTGGAGTGCATAAAGGGCAAAAAGATGCTAAAATGTAAAGGCACGATATTGGCATATTGAGGCATATAAAAAATAGCACAATTGTGGGAAGTGGTTTGTTGCGTTATTCTTGCTAATGAAGGTAAGGCCTTTGTGTGACTGGTACAGCTGGAAGCGAGTCTTGACTTTTTTTACACTCTATGGGTATGGATATCTTATGACCCTAAAATACTGCTTACCACCATTATCTCCCATATATTCTACTATATACAATTTTTTTACATTTTTATTAGTAATTTTATATTTAAACTGTTGTGCTACCTGATGACTTTGCAAGTTAGGAATAGCTGCTAACATCAGAGCTCAAGGAGCCTAAAATTTTATTTTTAAAAAAGGACACAGTTTCAAAGTCTAAATCTTTAATTGCGGTTTGGCCTTGTGTATATAACTATACAGTGCCTGTTGGTGTATGTACCTGCATATACACACAAAAGCACACACTGCTGTGTAGTTAAACACATATTAAACAAAACTACTTTTTTTTTTGATCATAGTGTTCTTAATTCAGGCAAAAGTCCTACAGATCTCACATGCTTGAGGAGTGCAAGGCCTGGTCCAAAATGGGGATAGATTTAAAAGAAACTTTTTTTTTTAATTTTAGTAGCTATCTCTTGCTGAAACTATGTAGCAACTTTGCTTGGGAGCCATAGTTCTGCATTGAATTTCTTTTTTTTACCTGTTGGCATATGTTTCTGTGACTGACTTCAAAACAAACCGAAAGGTGCCAAGGTGAATACCTGCAACATAAGCATTTCTTTAGTTATTACCTGAAACCATTTCATATTCAGCGACACTGGTAGAACTCGCATGCAGATTCCTTTCTTCCCCAGGGTTTCAGTCCAACTAAAATGGCTATTTAAGCACATTGACTGAGAAGATGGGAAATTACCAAGGCAAACTTGTAGCAAACCCACAGAGGACAGCTACCTGGTTCTTGTTGGTTTTGTATTGTTGGGAAAACAAAGTAGAAAACTAGCATACCATGTTTAATGATTTGTGTTCTGTATTAGTTTCTGCAGTTAATTTTATTTTCAAATCTTCAGTAAAACCTGATGGCAAAGATAAAACTGCGTTGTGTTGAAGTGATACTTATATAAAGGAAACGGGGCTTATTTTAAGAATGTCTTGAACTGAGTGACAAGTGTGAACACGGTTTAAATAATGACAACTTGTTTTTAAAACTCCAGTTGAAGTTATAAAATGGAATACTCTGTATTCCAATACAATTTTTTCAGTTAAGGGGATCAATTGCTAAGAGTTGTACATGAGAATATTACTACTGTGCATTTCAAATATTTTTGTGCATTATCAAAGTAATACAATAAACAATGTTCATTACAATACATCCTTGGCAAAACCTAGCTAAGAGAGAAATTCTGCTGGTGTTTGGGTTTGTTATTTAAAATAAGCTGCTTAGAATCTTACAACGTGCTCCTGGAAGTTGTGTGTGTATGGACATAGAGATATGTTTTTATTTTCTTGCTCCTGGCAGACCTTGAGTAGCTAAAAAGCCAGTATCAAAACATTTCTGCAAAAGACCTTTTTCTTTATCACATAAATGAATCTGTTTGATGTCAGTGTCCAAATCTCCCAGGATACTTGTTATATCAATACTACTTCATAGACCACAGTATTTTTTTTTTTTTAAGCTGAATTCTAAGCTTTGTTATATCTTAGATACAGTCATGTTAAGCCACTTGTAGTAATACTATCTTTTAGAAATTGTGAATGGATTTCATTAGTGGCAACCACACCTTGAAAGTAACATGATGAAAATTGCTCTGGTAAAGAGGTTAAACAGTGGTTTTCATCTGGTGGCTGAAAAATAATACTTTGATAGTCTAGATGGCCAATTGTCTGCATAACAACTGCCGTGTGTTAGTGGGACTCCTGTAATGTATCTGCAAAGCAGAATTTTTTTCATGCAGGAGGAGGTGTTTCATATTTTTTTACACTTATTCTGATTTTTCCAGAAGGAAAAAAAAATATGAAAGTGATGACATAGAACCAAGTAAAGGTTATGCTTTTGTTGGGCTACGTGAGCTTTCATTCTACTGATGAATTTGAGAGAAACTTATATTGCAATACAAAAGGAAAGTTTAAATGGTAGCCCTAGCTCAAAATACTTGATTCCTGTTTTGGCTTGGCCCTCCCTTAAGTGTTTACATTTTGTCCATTGTATCAAAGCCCTCAAAATTGTGTGTTTAATTAGGAGAAAACCCCACTTCTCTACTATCTCCATAGCTTTAAATCACTTTTGCAAACTCAGATGGTATAGAGGTATTTGAAGATTCTTTAGACCTGTATGTAAGGTGATGAAATGAGGTAAGTAATGATGTATGCTAGTGCTTACTCCTGTAGTAGCTTATCCAATGCAAAGCACAGCTGGTACATAAAAATTATTAATTTTAAGAATGGAGTGACCATTGTATATAAATACTATGAGGCTGAAAATATGGTTTCATCCTACGAGGAAAAAGGATTGCAGTGGGTAAAAGGAACAGGAGAAACTTAGCCTTGACTTAACGTACTGATCAGTGATTGTAGGCTGATTTGGGCTGTATATGCCCAGTGTTTTGCAGTATGTTGCTGTAATTATTTTTTCCTGGAGTTACAATAATAATCCTTCCTAGAGATGTCACATGAGCTGCACCTGTACTGTGACTATAAATAAAATACTCCTGCTCTCTGCTGAAGAGCATTTACATGTTGAATTTCCCAGACACTTGGAAAAAAAAAAGGCACTGAACTTGTATACCTGACATATCAGTATGACTTAAATGGTATTGGGTGCTTTGCTTTTATGAAAGAAGCTTTCTGAAATGCCTAAACTAAATTTAAATCTGGATTTAAAAGGTTAACTTGAGCATTTAAAGAAAGGTGCTGCTACCTTGATCATGCTACAGATTCCAGTGCCAGAAATTAACATACTTGAAACCACAGTAAGTTGACGTTTATCTGGTATGCGCTTAGCACTCCCATGTGGACAGAAATGGTACTAAATGTTAATTATTCACTGCTGTTTTCTTGGAAAGATAGCTACAGGTGGGGTAGTAGCAAAAAGAGCTGTGCTAAATGTTGCTATGAACAGCATTTATCTGTTCATTGCAACAAATCTAGTACTGGATTTGCTTCCCCCATTTAAAAAAAAAAAAAGGGGGGGGGTGGAGAGAAGGAAAAAACGTCAGGACTATATTTATATGTTAAGATACACTACCTTCAAGTAATAGAGAAATAAAGCTCAGTAACAGACAGAACTGGGAAGTATTTTAAGAGATGAGAGAGAATTCTCTTAATTAGATTACTGCAAATCCACTTATCTGTATCTTAAATCAGAATCTGTTCAAACTCTGACTTTCTCCTATCAGTAGTATCTGGCTAGACAATTTGTCCTCTGTTTGCTACTAACCGAAATTCTTTTTCTCATTTCAGTAGATATCAAGTATGATTTACAGTTCTAGAGACCAGATCCATTAACTTCAGCACAAGGTGAAGTCTTTCCATTTACTTTAACTTTCCCACAGCTCTTTTTTTAATTTAAAAAAAAAAATCTTAGATTCATGGGGTGATTTTGAAAATATGTCAAATCTATCAGATGTCCTGGAAGCATTTTTCCTTACTGGCACACTTAACAGCTATAAAGCCCAATTGTCATCTTGGTATTTTTACAATTTATGTATTTTGGACTTACCTAAAAGTATTCTATAGTTACACAAAATTAGAATGATATTGTAAGATTGAACACTTCTGAATTTAAGTGTTCTGTACCAAGCATTGTAAAATCAACATCTTAAATTCTGTTACTGAAAAAAAGGGATCTTAAAAATAAATACTCTAGATACCATTAGTGTTGCTGCTTAAGTGCACATGAGAAAAATACCCAAGTGTGCCACTGAAATAACTTTGCCTATAAGTTAGCCTTCATATGCTACTTTATGATGCTTCCTAGTGTGTATTAAGAAAAATAATTGTACTGAGAATCTGAGATGGAAGACAAAGGATTTTGTTCTTAGTACTTACAAGAAAAAGGAAGGAATATGAAAACACTGAAGTAGATGGTGATCATATATTGCTTTTTACATGAAAAGTGAGCTACAACTACACCTAACTTTTAAGTAATGGAGAATTAAATTAATTGTGTGTAACAGTGCTGCAAAAAACCTCTATAAGGAAATGGACAGTATTAAGCACCTCATTCTACAGTACAGATGTGTTTCTTGTGCTGTGGACTGTTCTGGTTCTCACTCGTAACTTACAGTATAAAAACCCAACTCAGACATGCTTGGAAGTTTTGAAATGTTTAAAAATGATTAGCAAATTTTTATAAGCTCTTCCTCCAAGCTGTCACTAAAAGAAGCAGCAAGTGCTGCAATGCTTAAAATGTACTGAAGCGTTTTCTAGCTGGCTCAAGTTTCCATGGATTTAACCATTTGATTAATCTTATTAACCTAGGAAGTAACACATAAGAATTTCAGGCTAGGTACAGGTAACTTAAATATTGTAGGAAAAAGTTCTAGTTCTGAATTTCTCTTACTTCAGTAAATAATATTTCCTAACAAAACATTTAAAATGCCTGAATGATGATTAAGTAACAGATATTGTGCAGTCTCTAGCGTGTATCTTAATACTGATGTTGAGGAGCCCTTTCTGTTGAAAATCAGTGCTTAAAAACTTGGGCAGATTTGACTTGTTTTCAATGAAAATATTTTAATTTCTAAGGACTTGGAGTTTTGTGGAGTATTCTGTGGCTGTTTGCTGTGGGCTGACCTTTGATTTAAAGATGCAACCCTGGTAGGAGGAGAGGGCAAACCAGCTCTTGCTGGAAGAAGTAGTTTGTGGCTTCTTGAGTTCAAATTCTAT